TGTGTGTGTGTGTGTGTGTGTGCGTGTACGTGTGTGTGTGCGTGTACGTGTGTGTGGTGTACGCGCGCGTGTACGTGCACGTGCACACGCGCACGTCTTTAACAAACATACACTTATATAATCCAGAAATCTTGCAAATTTTTACTCAAGAGAAATGGAAAGAAAAGTCTACAGAAAGGACTGTAAAGAGTTTTCCTAGCAGCTTTAGTCATGGTAGCCTAAAGTAGAAAACAATCCCAATCCCCATCAAGGTGACAGAGAAGCAAATCACGGTATCTCTGTACCACGGAATACTAAACTAACGGATATACAGCACATTGATGAGTCACCAAAGGATGCTGAGGGACAAAAGCAAAGCCCCAAGGAGGATAAATGTGGCCAGGGACACAGCTTAGATGGTAGAGCGCTTGCCCAACAGCTAGTAAACCACAGTAATCCCAGCGTCTGGAGGTGGAGGCAGGAGGACCAGAAGTTCAAGGTCATCCTTGACGACTAGCAAATTGGAGACCAGCCTGGGTTATAATAGATCCTTTTCTTCTTATTTAGTAACGCTTGTACTCTGGTACTGATGACGCTTTGGAGCTGCAAGGCTATCTAAGGTGGGCAAAAATCAGTGAGTGTTTGCCGAAGCCAGGGGCTGGGGAAAGAGAGGAGTGGTAGGTTATAAAAGGAAAATGAGTGGCTTTTCCTAAGTAATAAAGGTGATTAAAAAAATTAAATTCGCCAAACCATACACTTAAAATTACTACATCGCATTGAACATTGATTTTGGTTAATTAGAAAAAAAAGCTAACAGGCCAAGGGAAAATAACCAATTGCAATGTGTGGTCCCCAACTGCATGTTGATTTGGTACAAACAAAGCTCTAATAGATATTTTAGGGTGCTTAGGATTTTTAAAAAAAGATTCATTTTATTATTTTTTTAACTATGCATCTGAGAGTATTTGCACTTGAGTACCGTGCTTTCAGAGGGCAGAGGAGAGAGATGGCCTGGATCTGGGTGCTAGGAATCAAACTCAGGTCTCTGCAAGAGCAGTATGTGCTCTGTCTTATTACCTGTGAAGAGACACCATGACCAAGGAAACTTATAAGATAAAGCGTTTAATACGGGGCTCAGGGTTCCAGAGGGTGAGTCCGTGAGCATCACGGCAGAAACACAGCAGCAGACAGGCAGGCAGGCACGGTGCCTGAGTAGTAGCTAAGAGCTTACATTCTGTCTACAGGCCTGCGGTAAAGAGGGAGAGATAGCTTGCCATGGCATGAGCTTTTGAAACCTCAAAGCCCACCTCCAGTGACACGCCTCCTCCTGCAGGGCCACACCTCCTAATCCTCCCCAAACAGTTCCAACAACTTCTGAACAAGCCTTCAAACATATGAACCCAATGGGACCATTTCATTCAAAGCACACATGCTTTCGTCACATGCTCTGAACCACTGGGAATGTTTTAATATGACGTAGTTATTAAGTAACATTAGAGAATGATTATTAGTCTTTGTGTATATGATAATGGTATTGGGTCAGGAACACAAGTGCTGGGGCAGGGGTGGTCGGTGGATGGAGCGTCTCACTTCTGTCCTTCACGGGCGGGAGGTGAATGGTTAACTAGTTATCCACCCCTTCAACCCTCTTCAACTTGTCTCTGCTCCCCTTGGCTGCATCCGGCCAGCCAACCTGAAAGGTTCACAGCAAAGGCATGGGACCAGCAAGGCCCGGTGACTCCATTAGACAATGCAAACTCAGTTCAGGTAGGTGCTTTAGAAAAGGCTACATGAAAGAAAACGTGTTTGCTCAAAGACTTCAGATGCACTGCTCCTCAGATTCTGCCCAGGTCTGATCAGAGGATCAGAGCCCTTGACGGGAGGGAAGAGGGTAAAAACACGCGGCAGGGGGAACAAATTTCCTTTTACAGACATTTACGGACCTCCCGTGTGCCGGGCAGAGCGTTATGGGTACCAAGATGGAGGAGTGTCTGCTCTTGGCAAAGGGCTCCCTGGCACACGGGCTGTGAAGGCCTCAGTGGTGGCTCCGCTTGAGGTAGTGTGTCCAGCGGGCTCAAATGCATCCTGTGGTTTCAATCTTAAACGTCATCCAAAGGCCATGTGTTGAAGGCATGGTCGTTAGCCTGGGGCACTTTTGGGTGTGTGTGTGTTGGGGGGGGAGTTGAGGGAAACTTTAGAAGGTGGGAGTCGTGGAAGGAAGCCATTGGAGTGTTTCTTGGAAGGGGTGGTTAGGTACGTGGTTCCTCTTTTTCTTTCCTTCTCAGCTACCTATGTGAGCAGGTCAGCTCCTCCACGCTCTGCAGTCACAGACTTCTGCCTCGCTGCCTCAGGACCAAAAGCAATGCGAGCAAGCCACCGTGGACTAAAACAGTGACACACAATTCAATCTTTCACTGGAAGTGCCTTTTCTTATGTATGTTGTCACAGCGATGGGAAGCGGACGAGCACCATACCCTTGGTGGTTGTAGTCTAGCCGTTATGACAGGATGCCCTAATCCCCTGGACCCCGGCTTTTCTGTCAGCAGACAGTGTGGACTGAAGGCCGAAGGGATCCATTGTAACACAAGTATTAAAATGGTCTTTTAATAACAAACCTGGAGCCAGTAATGCTCAAAGATCAGAGAGACAAAGGAACAAGCCACTGCCACGTCTTACCTCTAGGACTCCTCAGTCTGAAAACCTCTAGTTCCTGTCTCTTCACGCCTTATATACATTTCTCCGCCCTGCCATTACTTCCTTCTTAGTGCTGGGGTTAATGGTGTGTGTGCTTCCCAAATACTGGGATTAAAAATGTGAGATCTCAAGTGCTGGGATTAAAGTCATGTGACTCCCAAGTGCTAGAATTAAAGGTGTGTGCCACCACTGCCTGGCCTCTATGTTTAATCTAGTGGCTTGTTCTATCCTTTGATCTTCAGTCATTTTATTAGGGTACACAATATATCACCACAACCCATCATTACTTCAGCCACGAGCCAGGAGCATATTGGTGACTGCCGTAATTGACACTTAATGGTTTTGTTAACAATATTTGGAGCTATCACAAGATAATACTCTCTTCAAGAGCAAAACCTTGAAAATATGCACACACATAATGGATGGACTAGAGCTGACCATTTTACTATGGTGTAACAGGGTCGTCCCCAGGTGTGCCAGAGATATGTGCCTCTCTGTGGTACCCCCATGAGGGACAGATGACGGTCTTCCTCACAGCATGGCTTCCAGAGGGCAGTCAGTTCACATGACCATCAAAGACTTACAGAGCGATGCTCTGAGGTCATGCTTGGGTCTTCCAGTTTAAAATCCCCGAGGAAGCAGGACTTTGTTCCTTGCCTTTTAGCTTGGAAAATAAGAAGCATCAGAGAGCTCGCTTGATTCCAGAAGAGAAGCGCCTTCTGCTGTGACCTTTCCCTTGGCAACGACAGCCAGACAGTGGCAATGAACGGGAGCATCTGGAAAGTGTCTGCGAGGATCCGAAATTGGCCACGGTGGTTTGAAAGGAAGACGCTACCGAATGTCAGCCTTTCCTAAAATATAATCACACTGCTCAGCCTTGTTTGGGCCAAAAGAATGAAAAATCGACGGCAGCATCTTTATGGATGAGCACATTGTGAGAGGTGATGTGCTGGCCACAGAGGAGAGCCGAGGCCACGGGGTAGGGAGAAAGACTGGAGAGACGTAGCCTGGTCAGCTGCACGCTCATTCATGGAGGGACACTGCTCGTCACTGAACGAAGGTATGCTTGTGGTCATCAGTGTCCTCTCGTTAAAGTGTCTGCCCTTGGATTTAAAAAAAAAATTTATTAGCACATATTAATTACATATATAATATAAATAATGTTTTTTGTTATGATACTTCACACATGTATATAATGTTTTAATCATATTCCTTCTCATTACCCTCACTTATTCCCTCCCAACAACTGGCCCCTCCCTCTTCCCAAGCAGCACTTGCATGTGTGTGCGTGTGTGTGTGTGTGTGTGTGTGTGTGTGTGTGTGTGTGTTAACCAATGGATTCAATTAGGGTTGTTTGCAGGAGCATGGGTGACCAGTTGTTTACAGGAGCGAGGGCCCGTTACCCACGGCTACACCAGCTTCTGCTTTCGCAGGACCAGCACAGCCCCTCCCCAGCAATCCTGGCTTCTTTTCACACCCTGGCACTTCGGCTGCAGCCAACTGCTTCCGTCTGCTGCTCTTGTTTCTGAACACGGAGCTGACTCCTGGTTCTGTAGTTCTGGGCCTGGGCATACAGGCTCTCAGCCTTCTTCACTAGGGTGGCTGACTTGTGCCTGCTGGGCCAGCATCCTGGCATCTCCTCTAGTCCTCAGCACCCCTGCGGATGGAAGGACAGTCCTTGTGCTGGACACACGCCTCAGGCCAGTCACCTGGGAGCATTGGATGAGAAACTAGGACAAGGCCTTGCTGTCCATTCTTGCTTCCATCCTAGAACTTTGGGTCCAGAGAGCAGGATGCTTACACTCTCCAAGCCATGTCTTCTATTAACGTCATGGGCTTCTCCTTCTCTCCTTCTTTTCCTCCCTGACTCCCTTCCTCCCTTCTCTACTCCTAACATCCCTTTTTCCCCAAAAGGCAACCACAGCAATATGTTTTATCAACACACACACACACACGCACACGCACACGCACACGCACAGAGTTTTATAAAGTATGAGCACTATTTTGTGTATTCAATTTAATTTACATACCTTATGTTACATTTTTGCCCTCCTGTCTGTGCATTCTCCCTTATTCCTGACTCATTTTATATATAAAAAAATACCTCTACAGTGCTGGTTGTTGGTCTTCAAGATTTCCTCTACAGTGGCATTTGAAGAGCACTGTTTAGTATTGCAGAGTTCTTGGATATTCAGGGTTCTTGTTGATCTGAATTTAATTATTAGTGGGCTTTCTGGAACTCCCAAAGGGACAGAAGGGCACTGCCCTTATAGTTGTCCAACTCTGGTCTGCCTAAAAAGAACCAAATGGATTTATATGTCAGGCACTACAGGGAACAGAGTATTGGATTGCAGATTGCAGGGGCAGATGTGAGTGCGTCCTTGGGCCTTTGCCTCTGGACTAGGAAGGTTTCCAAAACTCTGAGAGTCACAGTCTTGTGTGTGCTCGATCCCTTCCAGGGGGACTTCACTTGCTTGAAGCTGGTAATATTCTCCGAGGAAGAAGAATTCCTTGGCTTGCCCTCATATTTCATCAGGCACAGAAAAGTCTGGCAGCTGTTTAAGCCCCAGCCGGAGACTGACCTCAAATCATGCACATGTCTGCAAGGCCTTGCCGCTCTCCCCAGGGCGGCCAGGATATGTGCCTCAGAGCAGCCAAGAAGAGCAGCCGGCATCCACCCCAAGGGTTCCTGCGGTTGTTAGCTGAGCAGCGTCTTGGTGGCATTGAAGCTTACGGAACCATGTGGAGCCTGGGAACCGGTGCGGGTGGAGAGCAGCTGTGGGACTCAGGCCCTCCTCTGTCAATGCCAACAGCCAGGAGAGTGGATTCCATTTCAGGCAGCAGCAGTTCACACTGGGTGGCCTGAGCCTTGCCTCCCACATCAGTACCACAGGCCCAGCCTGGGAGGAGAGTCCCGCTCCCTTTGGGAGAGACGGCCCTTCTCAGGAAGGCCTTTCTCCTCTCCTCCAGGCTTCTGGATCCATCCAGGCCTAACAGCAATTGTTGGCCAGGTCTCTTCCTGTCTGTGAGGTCAAGGGGGGGAGGGGACTGTTGGTGGCCCTCAAGTGGTGTGCTTCCTCATTCAAACACCACAGAAGCACACCTTTGCTCTATTCTAGGCCATAAGTAATTCTATTTTTTATTTTTAAAGAGACAGTCAGTCAAAGCAACAATCACGGGGCCGAAAGATGGCTCCGTGGTTAAGAGCACTTGATGTTCTTGCAAAGGACTTGAGCTGGTTTCCCAGCACTCGTAGATTCTGTCACTCATTTTCTGTGCTAAGCGTTCTCTCTGCCGTCACTTGAACCTCAGTTCCTTACGAGGTAGGTTCTGTTCTCTCTGAATGAGGGAACTGAGGTTCAGACACCCTAAGCGGCTGGCTGACATAGTCTCACATCTCAAGGATGGTGGAGCTGGGGTTTCACTGTAGACGTCCTAGAGCCTGTGCTCTTAACCATCCCACGTGCGGCGGCGGCGGGTGTGTAAGTGGACACACACGTGCACACATACACACGCTGTTGTATGTGTGTTCCCTGACTTAAACAGTACAATCGCTTGTGACAGTCACAGAGTCTAAAGTCATTTTCCAGGTTGTTTATCTGGCTCCCCCCCACCCTATACTTTAGACTTTCACACGTAACGGATGAAAGCCAGGATCTACTTTAGACATCATTCTCAACTTGGGAAAGCACCATCCACCGTCCGCTCAGTCCTGGGTGAAGCACAGCTCTCCAAGCCCTGCTGGCTAATTCAGAGTGTCTCAGAGAGGCCTGAAGATGTGCATTTTGTCTTAGCCCATCTTTGGAAGCTATAACCACATACCCAAAGCTAGGTTCTTTTAGAAAGAAAATGTTTATTTGGCTCAGAGGATTGGAGCCTGGAAGTCCAAGATGAGGCAGCCAGAACCTTCTTGGCTTCTGTGAGGGCTGTGTGGCAGAGAGCTCTATTGTGACCAAGAGCCCTTACCAGAGAATCGGGGAGAGAGACAGGAAGCCATCTGGATCCCGGGGCTTGCTTTTGTGAGAATTGATTTACTCTAAGAAATCATTATTCGTCTCTACTGAAGGGGATGCCACCAATGACTTAAACACTTCGCATAGGCCCCACCTCTTCAGCGGTCCACCACCTTTCAATGTTGCCTCCTGAGGGACAAGCTTGGCACACACATTTTAGGGGGCCATGTTGAAACTGTACCTAAGCCATAGCGACCCACTGTAGGAGAGTAAGTTGGACAGGACAGGACCCATGAGACTTATTGTAGTGTTTTTCTTTAAATGGTCTAGTAGTATTGATGAAGCCTTGGCAGGCTTGCCTAGAGGCATCACCTTTAATAGAGTTATTATTATTATTATTATTATTATTATTATTATTATTATTATCATCATCATTATTTGCAGTAACTCATTGGAACTCAGCAACAGAGCCAAAACGTGGTGGCTGGAATTTTTTTAAAAATGCCCTCCTCTAGGCGGGAAAAAATCATTCTTGTGGTGGTTTGAAAGAAAATGGCCTCCAAAGGAAGTGACACTATTAGGAGGTGTGGCCTTGTTGGAGTAGGCGTGGCCTTGTTGACAGAAGTGTGTCACTGTGGAGGCGGGCTTTGAGGTCTTATATGCTCACGCCACACCAGTGAGACAGAACACTTCCTGCTGCCCGTGAGTCAAGATGTGAGAACTCTTAGCTCCTTCTCTAGCACCATGTCTGCCTGCATGTGGCCAAGCTTCCTGTGATGATGATAACTCTGAACTGGAATCCAGCCCCAAGTAAATGTTTTCCTGTTGCCATGGTAGTGGTGCCTCTTCATAGCAATAGAAACCCTAACTAAGACACTCCCTTACCCCCTAGCCCCTGTGTGTGTGTGTGTGTGTGTGTGTGTGTGTGTGTGTGTGTATGTGATATTTAATCACATAGAAGTCAGAGAACTTTCTATGGCTCGATGCAGAAGGATAAGGCTGAAAGGGAGGGTCGGGAAGTGTGTGTTGGTCTCCAGCTGCAGAGGGTTGTGTGATGAAACCTGGGTGCTGCTAGAATTATAAAGGGGTCCCAGCCCAACATCTGTTGGGGAGTGACTTCTGCCAACAATCTGAAGAAGCTCAGAGAGATTCTTCCCTGGCCCTCTAGAAAATTCAACCAGGTCTGACTCAAGAGCTGAGAGCTAATGGCATAGCTGTGAGTCCTTCCATGTGCTACTGTCCACGGAATCCTTGAGGACCAAAGCGAGCTGCTGCTCACTGTAGACCCATCCTTTCCAGAAGGGCCTCAGACCCAAAGCTGTGCCCATCCAGGGTGGCTAGGATCTATATTCCAGTTCTATAAAGCTATCTCGGAGGTCAATAAGGGGGAAAGACTAACGATTGTCAGAACATGCTGGAAATCACCTGACCAGCCCACCCTACTCGAACACGGGCAGATGCCCTGTGGACAAGCACATCTCCTTCATGGAAGAATGGTTCAAAAACACGTGAGGGAAACAGATCACTGTCCTGCATCTGCTCTTAAGTCAAAGGCCTCCCTTCCTGCTTTTGAGATTAATCACCTAGAACGTTGAGGTCCCGCCCCTTGTCAGGATCCTGGGAAGCTTGAGTCAGAGGAAAGTCTAAGCAGGCAGAATTCACACAGAGATGTCCCCACCTGGATGATTCACGCCATTCTTGAAACAAAGTGGTGTCTAAATGCGGTGGGATGGTTTTCATTTTCAATAACACTGGGATAGCCACGAGCCAACTAGCCTGTCTTTTTATCATGAGGCTAATATTAATAGTCTCCTGCCATAGTCAGAGATACTAAATAAAACAGGTTACTTCATAATTCCTGCTATTGTGACTCCCCTCAAATGCCCCTCCCCCCCAAATGCCTTGTACCAGGCATTCAGTGCGGTATTCCAGAGTACTTTTTAATGTACTCTTCCTTTTGTTGAAAGTTCTTGGAAGATGCTGGCTAGTAGTGCATGTTGTTTCATCTTTGCTTAGACTCTTTGAAGCCTCCATCCTGGGCCCCCTGAAAGCACAGGGCTGAGCATGCAGGGTTTTCTGACTCCACCCATCCCTCTTCCTGACATCTGCCTGCCTCTGCCCTAGCCCTACCGACCAGGCATGTCATGATGCCTGGCTTGGGTGGGATATCAGCATGTCTAGTCCCTGGACATCTGAGCTCTGAACTTGAACTCTATGTAGTTCTCCAACCTGGGGTCAAGGCTGAGCCCACAGGTCAATTTGTTTGAGATCCTAGCCTGGCCATCTACACCCTTTTGATGTTGTTATTTCCTACTTCTAGGGATGGCGGCAATGGATTTGGTTCTGCCACACAGAGTGGTGGCCATGGATGCTGTTCCACCACACAGAGCAGTGGCCAGGGATGTGGTTCCACCACACAGAGCAGTGGCCACGGATCTGGTTTCACCACACAGAGCAGTGGCCAGGGATGTGGTTCCACCACACAGAGCAGTGGCCATGGATGCTGTTCCACCACACAGAGCAGTGGCCATGGATG